GGAGAGAATAGAAAGCTCCAAAATATTTGGAAGATTACACTTCAAACTGTAAAGATGATGATCTAACCCACATCAATGTTGATTATTGTTACAGGGCAGTATGTGGAGTTCCACAAACTTATTGTGAAGCCCTGAAGTCACCAGAGGTGCTTCGATGGAAGCACGCCATGACAGAAGAGATCAACTCACTTAAAGAAAACAACACCTTTGAACTGACATCATTACCTAAAGGTAGAAATACAGTAGGAGGAAAATGGGTATATGCCCTCAAAGAACATGCAGAGAATGGAAAAATCTTTAAAGCTAGATATGTAGCGAAAGGATACAGCCAGACAGAAGGAATAGACTATCATGAAACTTTTGGCCAACAGCAAACATTACATTAGTTCGAGCACTGATGCAGATAGCAGTTCAAAATACCTCATCATACATCAGATGGATGTTAAGACGGCATATTTGCATGCCCCAATACAGGAAGAAATCTTCTTGGAACAACCAGAAGGTTTCAGAGTAACATCAGATACTGAAGAAAAATTAGTATACAAACTAAAGAAATCTCTTTATGGCCTGAAACAATCTGGGAGAAATTGGTACAAACTACTAAATGATTATCTAGAGCAAAATAGCTTCGTAAGAAATCCAAATGATCACTGTGTTTACAAACAACAGACAGAAAAGGGTACCATTCTTGTCATCATATGGGTGGATGACTTGATCATTGCAGCCAGTGATAATGATCTGTTGAACAGATTCAAAGATACTATGAAATCAAAATTCAACATGAAAGACTTGGGGGAAATATCATATTTCCTTGGCATACAGTTTGAGCAAAAGAAAGGAGAAATCAAAATGAATCAGAAAAATTACATCGAAAGGATGCTAGAAAGATTTGGAATGTCAGACTGTAAACCAAGGTATACACCAAGTGAACAAAAACCACTGGAGTATGTCAAAAATTAGATTGTTCCTAAAGAGTATCGTGAGATTGTGGGCAGTTTGATTTATGCCATGACTTGCACCAGACCAGATATTAGTTGGATAGTTAGTAAACTATCTCAAACACTGGCAAATCCAAAAGCAGAAAATTTGGTGGCTGCTAAGCATGTGTTAAGGTATCTCAAAGGCACAAATGACTATGAACTATGTTTTAAGAAAAGCGAGGAAGATCTGAACCTGATTACATTCAGTGACTCAGATTGGGCTTCGTCTGTGGAAGACAGACGTAGCACTACAGGCTATTGTTTCAGCCTAACAAAACAAGGACCAGCGATTTCATGGAAATCAAGGAAATAGCCCACAGTCGCTCTGTCAACTTGTGAAGCTGAATACATTGGACTTACAGCCACTACCCAGGAAAGCATGTACCTAACACAAATTAAAGGCATGGACAATAAAGTGTACACCTGTACTAAAATTCATGGTGATAATCAGGGAGCCATTGCACTGAGCAAGAATCCCGTAAACAGAAAGAGGTCTAAACACATTGATGTAAAATATCATTTTATTCGAGAAACACTAAGCGAGAAGAAAATAGATATTATTTACTGTCCATCGGAAAACATGACTGCAGACATTCTAACAAAACCTGTTACAAAAGCAACAATAATTAAGTTCAAGAAATGGTTCTTTGGAAACTAAAGCCATGAGAGACCATGGTATTTGGGTTAAGATGATGAGAACAAGAGGGGGTGTTGAGTTTTATGTTCTCATTCACATAAATATAAATGATGTGATGTATAGTTTGACTTACAGTGTTCATATTTATATGTTTTATACAACGTTTATTTTGTATGCACTTGAAGAACAGTGTACATGTTGAGATCTTATTTTGTTATTCATGACGTGACTTCCTGTTGTGATGCGTTATGTTTCGTGACCTACTTTACGTTAAGATGAAAGAGCGGGAGATTGGTTGTTGTGTTCCATGGCTGCTGATGAAATGCTATTCCAGTTAGCTTTGAAGAAGGAATGAATAAAAGGTGACGTGATAACACTAAAGTGTGATTCTTGGTAACATGGCTGACGAAGCAGCCGACCCACCAGTTGACGCAGTCAAGCCAACACGAGGCTACAGACACACTCTGCTCCACACTAGCCTCATCTCTGAACAAGCTCTGCCCTCTGGTGTCCAAACCCGCTCGCAAAACCCACCCTAGTCCATGGCTCACGGTAGTCATAAAAGAGCAAAGAGCAGGGCTGAGGTGAGCAGAGAGAAAATGGCAAAAATCCAAACAGTCCGCTGACCTCAATGACAATAAGCAAAGACTTGTTTCATTCTCCTCCAGCCTGAAAACGACCAAGACAACATATTATGAGAACAAAATATGCAATGCCACAGATACAAGATACCAGTTTTCTGAGCCTGACCAACTCAGCCCGAAGGCACCAACCAAAAGTGCCTCACTTGACTCATTCTTCTCTCTGACTGAGGATGAAGTCTCTAAGCTTGTGCTAGACTCTCGGCCCACCACCTGTCCTCTGGACCCAATACCATTAAGCCTCCTGCAGACCATTTCCTCTCCGCTTAATGCTGCACTTCCGCATATCATCAACTCCTCTCTGTCAACGGGTGTGTTCCCCACCGCGTTCAAGCAAGCTCGGGTCACCCCTCTGCTCAAAAAACCCACACTAAACCCAGTCCAGGTTGAAAAATACAGACCGGTTTCTCTTCTGCCCTTTCTGTCAAAAATACTTGAGGGACAGTCTTTAAGCAAGTCTCTGAGTTCCTGTCCAGAAATGATCTGTTTGACCCAAATCAGTCAGGCTTTAAGCGGGGCCACTCTACTGAAACTGAACTACTGAATCAGAATCGCTACGAGCTGCCAGAGCTGCGGGTCAGTCCTCAGTTCTATTACTGCTAGACCTGTCTGCTGCCTTTTACACAGTCAACAATCAAATCCTCCTATCCACGCTCTCTGAACTTGGATTCTCAGGATCTGCCCTCTGCTGGTTCGTGTCCTACCTCTCTGGGCGATCCTTTAGAGTGTCGTGGAAGGGAGAAGTGTCCAAAGCGCACAGCTTATCCACAGGGGTACCTCAAGGGTCAGTGTTTGGTCCCCTTCTCTTCTCCATATACACAAGCTCACTTGGTTCAATAATCCGCTCTCATGGCTTCTCATACCACTGCCATGCTGACGATACCCAGCTCTTCCTGTCATTCCCGCCAGACAATGTTACAGTCTCTGCAAGAATCTCATCATGCCTTGCTGATATCTCTAAATGGATGAATGAACGCCACCTTCAACTCAATCTTTCAAAGACTGAGCTCCTTGTCATCCCAGCCAGTCCCTCTATGAAACCACAGATCAATATCCAGCTTGGAACAACCAAACTCATGCCCACAAAGTCTGCCCAGAACCTAGGTATCATGATTGAGGACTAGCTAACTTTTAAGGTTCAAGTAGCCTCGATTGCCCGGTCATGTCGATTTGCCCTGTACAACATCAGGAAGATCAGACCTTACCTGTCAGAACATGCTACACAGCTCCTGGTACAGGCTCTTGTGATATCACGCATCGACTATTGCAACTCTCTACTGGCAGGTCTTCCTACATGCACTATCAAACCCCTGAAGATGATACAAAATGCAGCAGCACGACTGGTCTTCAACCTTCCTAAAAGAGCACGTCACTCCGCTGTTCATCTCCTTGCACTGGCTCCCAGTTACTGCTTGCATCAAATTTAAAACTCTGCTGCTCGCTTACAAAACAGCGACAAAAACGTCTCCTCCTTACTTTAACTCTCTCATCCAGGTCTACACTCCTTCCCGCCCACTACGCTCTGCCAATGAAAGGCGTCTGATCCAACCTTCACAACAGGGTCCTAAGTCTCTGACTAGACTCTTCTCCTCTGTCGCCCCCCGGTGGTGGAATGAACTTTCAAACTCCATTTGATCTGCAGAGTCCCTCTGCACCTTTAAGAAAAAGCTAAAGACCCAGCTCTTTCATGAATACCTACTAACTTAATGATGATGGTCTCCATATTATTGATGATGATAATGGTTGTGACGATTGTTTTTGTTTGATAACAGTGACTTATAAGATGGTTTCTATACTGATTAGAGCTCTCAAGAACTGCTATCAATGTTGTGCTTTGCCTCTGGTCACTTCCTGTCAGCACCTGTGTGTCCAATCGGACTCAAAGCTAATCGTTTGCTCTTACTGACATTGTTCCCTTTTTTCTACATCCTTGCTTGTGTTGTACTTACTCTCTGATGTACGTCACTTTGGATAAAAGCGTCTGCTAACTAAATTGTAGAAATTGTAGAATTGTAGAAAAATAAGTATGAGGAGGAAAAGAAGGAAGGAGAAAACATTTATAATCTGTCATCAATACAATCATAATAAGATTTAAGCAACTTTTCAAAAGTGAGACCGAGCCAAGACAGGTCCAAACAGCATTAGCCAGGCAGCAAAATGGAAAGACAAAAAATTAATGACAAAAAACAAAAAGGCCAGGCTGTTTTACAATTAAGGCATTTCTTACACTGTAAGCACATTATTCTGCCAGAACTTCATATTTCACTCTATATATGCTGCTTTAGTCTGGACCTGTAGAGTATAGTGAAACTGACTGGCTAACTATTTTCTCTTTACTCAGAAAGTAGGTGTGAATGTGTGTGCAGCTGGTTATCTGTCTCTATATGTCAGTCCTGTGATTTCTGGCGACCAGTCCAGGGTGCACCCCGCCTCACGCCCAATGACAGCTGGGATCGGCTCCAGTCCACTGGGTGACCCCGAATGAGAAAAGCGTTATAGATAATGGATGGATGGTTGTATTCAAATGTCATGTATTATAGTGTAAATATCTAATGAAATTCTTAATCTCTTCCATCACTGTTTAATAAACTTAAGTTGGCATTTAACTTAACTAAAATTGGACACAGTAACTTATTTGTGGCTCCTATCTAGTTTTTCCCCCATCAACCCCGATATCCTAAACATCCCTCTACCCACAGTAAGTCCCATTTTGTCAACAAAATCAAGAAATAAACAGACTTGTAAAAGGAATCAGCAAAATCCTTTATATTGATTGTTTATAAATGTACAAATTGAATCTGCTGTGGTCAAGAAGACAGCAAGAATATAAAAAAAACACCACAAGCCAATTTTTTCAAAGTATGTAAATAGTCCAAAACGTTCATTAACATATTAAACATTATAAGAGTACAGTAAGACATCAATGTACCAGTAAAAGACCACAATTTAGAAAGTGCATACTATTTGCAATTTCCATGAGACAAAATCCAAAGAGATATTGGTCATGTCCCACGAAATAGTAAAATTGGCTGAAAATCCCTGAGAGTGAAACTGGTTGGTATTGGGTTGGAATTGGCAGTTATGCTTGTGTCTGAAAGTGGAGGTGTTTGCGGAGGAAGTTGAAGGAACCAGGCATTTGCTTGTAGACGCCTTTTGCAGAGATTTGTGAGACTTCATTGTTTACCTGAAAGAAAGAGCAATTCATTATACGACACATGTATTTGTGTGATTTATAATTATTCCTTAAGGCCATTTTTGCCTTTATTGGATAGGACAGCAGAAGAGAGACAGGAAATGATGGGAAGCCAGGTCCTTATCTTGAGTGTTATGACTTTCAGTTACTTTTTATGTCTTCTAAAATGTTACAGATTATTGTGTTATAGTCGGCTACAAATAATTTTGTTTGTTTTACTTAATTGCTCAGAGAATTGATCTATATTTCCTACGTTGCCTATAAAATGCACTTTCTTTCAGTGTCTGCTTGTAAAAAAACTAATAACATTTCACCTTAACTCCATTATTAAAACTTACAAACAGAGTCACTGAAAAGCAACCTTAAATTATAGGTGTTCATGTGAAAATCAAATTAATTAGTTACTGTATAGACGTTTTTTGAATATAGTTGCCAGTTTGCCATTTTTAAAGTTATTTTTTTTTTGGGGGGGGGGGCTGTTTGCCTTTAGTGGATAGGGCCGCTGAAGAGAAACAGAAAATGTTGGAAGGAAAGAGTAGGGGAAGAAGTGCAGCAAAGGACCGAAGTTGGAGCCACCGCCAAGGACAAGGACTATAGCATCAGTACATGGGGCGTGTGATATGAACATTAAGCTATCCAGCAACCCAGGACATTTTTATTTATCAATCAAACAACCAAAAAAGGTCAGTAGGTTTTGATAGAGTCAAAGCTCTATTTTTTTGTATAATCTAAGAAACTCACCATCATCAGCATTGTGGCCAAGTCATCAGTGGCACCATTTTCCTCAAGAACACGGTCCAGTATCTCTACATACCAAGAGCCTGACTGGGTATCTCTCCAAGATACATAACCTGTTTTTTGTTTTTTAAACATGGGCAAAGTGGAAAATGACATTTCAAGAGAAAGGTCTATGGCTCAAGCTTGCATCTAAAAACAATACGCATGAATGCTGCTCACATGGACAAACACACATACCAGGAAAAGTAGAGTAGGACACTAAAATGTCACTCGGGGTGGGCAGCGTTGCTCGGGCATCCGGCTCATCTGACGTGCTCAGAGAGTCGCTGCTGGACGACATGGGCATGGCATCGGTCTGATCATCGGCTCCCCCGAAGGATGGTTCAAACCCATCAGGAGACACCTCAAAACCAGTGTCTCTTTCATCTACAGGACAAAAACAAATGTTTCCTCATGTTACCCCTTTATGAGCATTACATGTTTTAAATGTGTTATAGATTTGTGTACATGCTATGGTGCTTTGAGTTACTCAACAACATATGTAATTTACCTCCGCCACAGGCTTGGATGAAGAAGAGTTTGGGTTTGCCCTGCAGAGATGGACAATGCTGCCCATTGAGGTAGTTTGTGATGCACTGTACCGTGACAAACTGCCCGTCCACACCATATACAGCACCAGGGAAGCGGCTGTGACTCACCTATAACCATAAATATGAACCTGTGAGCTTTTTATACGTCATTTGGAGCAATATAACAATCAGAATTCTCATAAGGAATTTCCTACCTCAGTTCCATGGGATAGCATGATAACCACACAGCAGTCATAAAGTGAATGATCCTTCTTAGATAAAGCTGACAGTTCATGTTTGATTTGCTGAAAGGGAAAAAAGAAACTGTTAACAACCATCGTTTTTGGATCTGGTAACAGACGTAGAAATGAAAGAAGAGAGTCTTACTCTTTGTTTTAGGTTCGTCTTTACTTCCACAATAAAATTGAGCGCCTTGAATCTTCTCTCCAGCCTATCACAGTCTATGTTGGACCCTTTGCGATTGCTGAGCTCGCTCTCAGGATCGAACTCCACGTTGTTTATTATGAGGCAATGTCCACATGGGCTCGCATCCATTTTATAGCTCTGACGCACAGAGAGGAGACAAATGCTGCGTTTAAGTTCAACGGGATGGAAGTAAAGCCAAAGTTATTTTGTTCTTCAGCAAGCTTTGCCTTTTTAATAGTTAACAAGTGCATGATAATGAACTGGTGCTCACCTGTATGCTATCCCGGCGAGTTCTGCTGGGCAGCCTGGGCCTTATGAACTCGCTTTCAGGTGCTGTGATGTAAGCATCAGTATGAGTTGAGCATCATGGAACTTGCTAGACTGTTGCTAATATTATTATTATTTTAAACAATGTCTTACATGGCGTTGGAGTTGTATCACATTTCTGTGCTGGAGAGACAGGAACATTGTCTTTTCTTTGCTTATCAATATCCACAGGAGGGGCTATTCAGGGAACAAAGTGTCCAAACAGAAACAAAACATCTTATTTAATTTGTCTCTTTCTTGTTTTGCTTTCTCTTACACCTTATTGAGTATGTGTTCTTGTTAGCTTTATTGTTTTTGCTTGGACTACATTAATAATATGTCTCTGTGTTACATGTTTCTCTTTAGGAGGGCCTCTCCACAAGCCCCTCTGGGTTTATTTGGCTCCTCCAGCACATTTCTTTCAAAATGTATAGTTTGTTAATTAACTAATCATTATGTACTGTCTGTTTTTTCATTGATCTATTATGTTTATTTTTGTGCAATAAATAAATAAATAAAAATAAAAAAACATGATACCAAATATTAAACAATTCCATAAAGGAAGTGATTGCAATGACTTTGGTAGAGTGACAATCATTTAAAACCTTTAGAGACACAGAAACAGTTTGACACACTTACTAACTGGGAGAGGTCGTATATCAGGGAGAACAACAGGAGTTGGTGTTGGATGTACATGAACAGCTGGAGCTCCATTCTGCAGCTTCTCTGCCAAACTGTGCTGACCGGTCTCCTGAAGGCACTCCAGAAAGAACGGAAAGGCCCGACTCCCACGGGTCTCCAGGTCCCGTACTAATTGTCTGGACTGGTCACGCCGGGTCCCTGAGCTCTGAAAGGAGACACAGGTACAGGTGTGCACCCGGACATAGCGTTCATCACCATTTCACCAACAACGACAATAATAAAGTGAAACTCGACAGTGACAAAAATATTGTCCTACTTTTATCGCATCAATCATGTCGTGTGTGAAAACTCCTTTTTCAAAAAGGCAGTCATAAAGGCTTGAGGGGTCCATTTCTGTGACGAGATTGGTCCTGTTTCGCTGAAGAATTTTCTTGTGTCTTTCTTCCATTTTCTAATAAATAGGCCTACAGACGACCACAGCGAAGCAGATGGAGACGTATAAGAAAAGCTGACACGGACAGTATGGTTACAAAGTCAGTCGAAAGCCTAAATTGCGTACAATTCGCACATGTGTTGTTAAACGAGGAAAATATACCTTATTCTTGTATACGTATTTGACGTTTTTCTCTCATTCGGCTCGGTTGCGTTCGCTACTTCCTTGTTTACATCACCGTTGTCTGTGATTGGTCCAATGCGAGAGTACAGAAGGGGCGGGTGCGTTTGATTGCACAACTGGGCGCCGCTGCAATAAGCTCATCCTACCACATTCACACGATAAAATGACGACATGATGAGCAATAAACCGAACATACTCAGACGAAGGCTAAAATGTCTCTCCATACTCACCTTCGGCATTGGACGCCTCCCCCCCACCCCCCACTCCTCAATGGACGTGCTCCTCCTCCTGACTCGCAGCAGCAGCAGCAGCAGGTTCTCAGCCTTCCTTGAAGGATCTGTAGGATGCTACTGAGCACACCATTTGCATTTTGCTGTCTTTTCAAATAAGCATTAAGCAGCAACCTTAGGAGCATCTCTACCTCCTGTAATCATGTGGCGCAGTGCGGGTTGACTGTGATCTGCTCGAGGTAAATGCAGAGCTGCTGCGTTCAGAATGCTCGACTGCTAGCTCGTGTAGCAACGCATCTAACCTAAATGAAAAAGATGCACACATTTATCACGTTCCTCGAGGAATTACGTGTTTCCCTTTCATGTCCTGTCAGAGGAGTTATGATATTCTAGTGTCTGTTGCTTAATAAAATGGATGCCATATATTACGTCGCTTGCCTTGCTTCATAAGTTGCATGCAATCCCTTACATATAGCTGCGCGACTGTTTTGATCCTTTTGCATGATTACAAAGCTAAAGTCAGTACAGAGGGGAGAGCTGTATAACATGTGCATGTCAGCAAATGAAGGCTGTGTCAAGATTGAACGTTTGTAATAATTCAGAGTGTTTCCATTTCACTTGCAGTCAATAGTTCATCTGATATCCTACAGGTAACAGTGATTGCAGGGTCAAAGATGTTTTTGACGCTGGCTGTAGTGGTGGTCCTGTCAGTGCTGCTGGCAGGAGCATCCCAGGCTGGGCCTGAGATGGACCCGTACAAAATCTTGGGGGCAACCAGGACTGCGAGCCAGGCGGAGATCAAGAAGGTCTATAAGCGTCTTGCAAAAGAATGGTAAATATTTTCACGTGTCACTGACTTGTAATATGATTCACTCCTTGCTAAACTAATTAGAATTTTCATTTTAAGGCATCCTGACAAAAACAAAAATCCAGGTGCTGAGGACATGTTCATCAAGATAACCAAATCTTATGAGGTCAGTCATTGAAAATCGAAATTAGACATTTTTTGTCTTGTGAGTTACCAAATACCTTATTATGTGTTGGGTACGCAAGCTATGGTTGTAGCCACTAACATATCCATAAAGATACAGTCTGTCATATTGATATTTGTAATATTCAAAATCTAGATCCTGTCCAACGAAGAAAAACGTTCCAATTATGACCGTTATGGTCAGACTGATGACACCCAGCCATACAGCAGCAGCCGCTACGGTCATCGCCATGACAGCTTTTACTTCGACGAGTCCTTCTTCAACTTTCCCTTCAACAGCAAGAACCACAGGGACTTTGCTGACAGCAGGTACATTTTGCACTTCAATCAGTACGTCAGTGACGTGGTGCCTGACAGCTACAAGAGGCCATACTTGATAAAGATCACCTCTGACTGGTGCTTCAGCTGCATCCACATCGAGCCTGTCTGGAAAGAGGTAGTGCAGGAGATGGAGACTTTAGGTTTGGATAAAACCTCTAAATCTTCCAAAAATTGTCCTTCATGTCATGTATTGATATGCACATGGCGAGTGGAAGAAGCTGTAGTGTGTATGTTTTTTGATATCCTGTCTTTGTAGGTGTTGGAATAGGTGTGGTGGATGTGGGCTACGAGAGGAGATTGGCAAATCACCTTGGTGCTCATCGCACGCCATCGATACTTGGAGTCATTAATGGCAAAGTGACGTTTTTCCATTATGCTGTAGCAAAGGAGCACCTGCGGCAGTTTGTAGAAGACCTTCTCCCTCAGAGACTTGTGGATCGGGTAAATATCTATGCGTCCTCTGATCACTTTAGAAAAGTACAGTAAGGGAGGATGAGTAATGCATTGCTATATATGTTATGTTCAAGTGAACAGAATCATAAAGGACATGCACAAGATGTATTGACAGCACAAATACAAATTGATTTTTTTTGTTGGTTTTAGGTCACAGACAAGAACGACCTTCAGTTTTTGAACAGCTGGCATGAACTCAACAAGCCTCATGTGCTTTTATTCGACCAAGTTCCTGTAGTTCCTCTTCTCTTCAAAGTAGGCGGTTGATTTTGCTGTTTTTGTACTGTTTTTTTAATATATATAAAACCAACACAAACATATCAGTAATGTATTTCTGCTTCTCCACAGCTGACAGCTTTTGCATATAAGGACTACTTGCAGTTTGGCTATGTGGATCAAGGCCTTTCAGAGACAGCCGATCTGCAGAAACAATTCAACATTAACACTTATGCCCCGACCATGCTGGTCTTCAAAGAGAACACGGACAAGCCTGCTGACATTATACAGGTAAATTGCAGAAGCAGGGAGCTCAAGAGATGAAAATAGTTCCACCACCTTTTCATATTCACGGCTGTCTATTTGCTGATCCAGGTTCGCTCGATTTCAACTGAGATGTCTTCTCACTTTTATCTTTTTGTTTTTTTTTCTGTACTTTACACAGGCTAAGGGAATGAAAAAGCAAATTATTGATGAGTTCATGTCAAACAACAAATTTCTCCTTGCGCCACGGCTGGTCAATCAGAAACTCTTTGATGAGCTCTGTCCTGTCAAACAGTTCCATAGACGCAGGAAGTAAGAGAAGCTAACACTTTCTTTAATGGCATCTGTTGTTACTGATAAAATAATAGAGATAAGGGATTAGCACTTACTCATTGCTAATAGAGTCGTCCCCCCCCCCCCCTCCCCTCAGATACTGTGTCCTGCTGATCACAGGTGATGACGAGACCTTCTCTTTCGGGAACCAGGCCTTTCTCTCTTTCGCTTCTACAAATACCAAGGACGTTTTGAGATTTGCGTATGTGTACCAGCGGCTACAACAACCATTATGCGACATTCTTGTGCAGAACAAGGACAGTACACAGTCACACCCTCAGGTAAACTCATTTATGGACAACACTTTGGATGCGAGTTTTGCAGTGAATGTATCAAATGTTTTGGGATTTAAGAATAGGTTTCGTTCATAGTATAACGTGAAAAAATTCTCCACATTTGTCAAAATAAGCTTAGCTTCAACCATCACCTTCCTCTTCCATCGCCTCAGCCATCGTATCAAACAGTATTGAAATGGGCTAGCTGGTTAGTAGGCCGACTGTAAAGATGTAAGCACTTCTCACGAGAAAGCCACGGCCCGCTGCCAAATTTACATGTTTAAAGTCTACTGTTAGAACAACTTTGAAACTACGATTTTTAAAGTGGAAAAGTAACATGTTGTTGCTTTAAAAACGTGTGTATTATTAAGTGAATTATTCAACATTCATATTATCAGTTTAAATGCTTTCCTTAGGTGGTGATCCTGGAGAGGCGTAGCGCTGCAGGCAAGGCTTTGTTCAAGCCCGTCACTGCCTGGAATGGCAGTGAGGAAGACAAGCAGTGTCTTTTGGAGGAGCTGGAGAGACTCCAGAAGGACCCATCCATCCTCATCCATGACGCCATGCTGCCCGAGCTCAACAACGAGTTTGCTTCTGTATGTCGTCTGATCGTAGAAATATTTATGACTATGAACCGTTAAATATCACCTACCAGTCCTGATACTAAAAGTGATCGTGTTTTATAGATGTTTGTAATCAGATGGATCTACGCATCTTATGATTACCTCTCTGAAGTCATTGACGATATTCTGCACAACAACTGGTAGGTACAATTCTTTTAAAGTTTGAAGTCATGTTTGTTTTAGGTTGTTAGGTCACTCACTCAAGATAAAAATGGCATGCACATCCGAAAAAAGTAGAAGTATTAGGTGCTGAACAAAAAAGTCTGCACACCAGAAGCTGCTTCAATTAAATTTAATTGAATGGAAAAATCTCCACATGCCCTCGCCTTTCATCAGACAGGCCTCACTCAAGATATAATAATTTGATGCTAGTGATAGTATTGTATTGAGTATAAAATTATACTAAAGCGGTTTTAAATTGGCAAGCAAGTTGTTTTCCACCGTGTATAGAAAAACAACACCTTCTTGAGATGTAAATAAATTGTGTTGATGCACTCAAAACATCTTGATGGTTTGCAGGCGGGAGATGATGCCTCTTCTGTCCCTCATCTTCTCTGCCTTGTTCATTTTGTTTGGAACTGTGGTCATCCAGGCCTTCAGGTTGGTTGCTTTACAATACATGCATTTCACTAGGCCATCTAAATTGTATCTATGGCAACATCACCTTTTCCTGAGATACAGGAAGTAAATGACATTGAGTTAAAAAAAAGGCCAAAGAATATGGAACTAATTCTGTACATTTTACTCTTGTCCCCTTGGTTCTCCTTTTGGGGGAAAAATATTTTTCCAGCGATTCAAGTGATGATAAGCAAACTAAACCCAAGGCAAAAGAAGGAACAAAAGCAGAAAATGGGTCACCAGGGGCCAGTAGTACTTCAAGGCAAGCATTGATTACTTTTTGTATTTTTTTTTAACCAAGCGAAGGATTTATCGTTATGTGTCAAAGCTCTATTTTCTCTCTTTGATTTTAGTCGGCCTCCCAAGAAGAATTTTGTGGAGGTGACGGAGCTGACAGATATCACTTACATTAGCAACCTGGTGAAGCTGAGGCCAGGACACATGAACATCGTGCTGGTGCTCACTGACGCCTCCAAGAACATCCTACTCAGCAAGTTTGCCAAAGAGGTCTACTCCTTCACAGGGTAGGCTAAGCATCAACTTCTCATCACATTCCATCTCAGCAAATGAAGTTCATGTTTAAAGACATTTACAGTCTACTAAACATTCCTGTCTTCACAAGCATTCTTTCAACCCTCTCTTAGGAGCTTTACGCTGCATTTTTCCTTCCTGAACATCGACAAGCATTGCGAGTGGATGC